GGGCCACCGGGGCGCAGTTGCACAAGCTGCTGGCGGACGACGGGGCCGCTGGCGGCTACTTTGGCGTGTCGTTGTCTGTGAGCTCTGACGGCAGCTGGGTGGCGGTGGGAGCACCGGCGTTGGGAGCCCCCCATGAAAGCGACAGCGAGTCTTACTCTGGGGCCGCGTACGTTTTCGACGGGAGAACTGGTGCGCAGGTGGATTGGTCCATCGCCACTGTGGCAGCCAACGCCCGCAAAGTTCCCGCTGGCTTGAGATGTTGTGTTCCTTTATGGCTTGTGCCTTTTGCTCTGTATTAGCTGGACTCGTGCATTGGCGGCGTTGGGGTTTGGTGTTCGGGCACCGCACCGTTGTTTGGACGATGCCCGTCTCCATTGACCCCATCTGCTCGCTGCTCACTGGTGTCGCTGGAGACAGCGGACTTGGATAATGGGGAGGGATGGCCAGCAGCTGCGCAGCATCCCCTAGAGGCACGCACCGCCGTCCGTCGCTCGACGAACGAGCACCTGCCTCGGCTGCCAGAGTGAATGTAGCTCATACATGGCGCAGGCCCGCCTGGTCTGGTATGAGCAATTTCTCGCGACCCCTGGCAGGGGGACCTCATCATCTTCGGCTTCAGGCTCTCATTCGAGAGCCTCGCGCCATTCATTGGCCCTCGAACAGGTGGATGGTCGAGTGCATTTGTTTCCGTCTTCCGCCCCCCGTCTTGTTAGGATCGGGGTTGTTTTCCATCAGCCGCTTCGCCGCCGGGTTTTTTTACTGAGTAGGCATTGTGTGTCATCCTTTATAGAGTCGTTGTGTGTAGCCTCATTATATTAGTGGTCGCTGGGACCATGAAAAAAATGTTCCCCTCTTCCGCGTCCCTGGCAGCCCGTCCCAAGGCGACTGCCCGGGCGACCGGTCGGGAGAGGGGCAGCAGATGCGCACACAGCGAGGCAGCTGCACATGCCGTCGAGCTCCGAGATCTCCTTGGAGCCCGCGGGGCCTGCGCTCGGAGGCCCAGGGCCGCAGGCCTCTTTGGGGGCACTTTGGAGCTACATTCTGTGAGGAGTAGGAGGGGGAGGAAGAGGAGGAGGAGGAGGAGGAGGAGGAGGAGGAGGAGGAGGAGAGGAGGAGGAGGAGGAGGAGGAGGAGGAGGAGCAGGAGAGGAGCAGGAGCAGGAGCAGGAGCAGGAGCAGGAGCAGGAGCAGGAGAGGAGGAGGGAGGAGGAGGAGGAAGAGGAGGAGGAGGAGGAGGTGAGAGAGGAGGAGAGCAGGAGCAGGAGCACGAGCAGGAGCGGAGAGGAAGGGAGGAGCAGGAGGAGGCGGAGGAGGAGCAGGAGGGGGAGAGGAGGAGCAGGAGGGGGAGGATGAGGAGGAGGAGGAGGAGGAGGAGGAGGAGCAGAAGGGGGAGGAGGAGGAGGAGGAGGAGGAGGAGGAGCAGGAGGAGGAGGAGGATCAGGAGCAGGAGCAGGAGGAGGAGCAGGAGCAGGAGCAGGAGCAGGAGCAGGAGTAGGAGGAGGAGCATGAGGAGGAGGAGGAGGAGGAGGAGGAGGAGGAGGAGGAGCAGCAGGAGCAGGAGCAGGAGCAGGAGGAGCAGGAGGGGGAGAGGAGGAGGAGGAGGAGGAGGAGGAGGAGGAGGAGGAGGAGGAGGAGGATGTTGGGGGCCATTCGGGAGCCTTTGGGGTCCTCTTGAGCCTCCGAGGCTTTCGATCTCGCAAGGGGGGATGATCATGAGGGGTCCTTCCTCCGCCTGGAGCCCGTACACCGCCTCACTGGGCCGCTCTTGGGGCGCTTTGGAGAAGCCTTCGGGGCTGTCTTGAAGCAGTCATGTCCGGTTTCAAATCATGGGAGCCTTGCTTGGCCTTCAGGTAACGGGGGGGGTCATAGATGGGGGTGTCAGAATGGTCACTTGTTAGTCCCCTTTTGGTCCCTTTTTGATTACTTTTTAGTCCCGTTTTGGTCTTGCTACTGAAAGGAACGCGTAGTTATGGGTGCAAAGTACGAAGAGTTGCATACCCTCGCAATTCCGTCTTTAGCGTGGGCTAGCGTCGATTAGCGCCTGGAGTCGATGAGATAGTGCCGATTTAGCGTCGGTTAGCTTCGATTAGCGCCGATTGAGCGTCGATGAGCGTCGATTTCGCGTCGATATCGCGCCGATTCGCAATAACCGACAAGATGTTATGGGAGGCTCCCATGAGTTGCCACCGAAACTATGGGCCCCTGTTGGGCACTGTTGGGGCCACCCCGAGGCATCGCAGGCCCATCGGGAGCGGAAAGGCACAAGTCCGGAGGGGACCGTGGAGCGCCGACTCCCAGGGGAAGTACGGGAAGACATGTGACGTGGGTGGCGGGGGGGCGAGACGAGGGCCCAGAGCATATACGTAAGGGGAAGCTGTGGGGGATCCCGGGACGTGTGTCTGTGTACACAGCCGTGGCAAAAGTTGCTTCCGTTTGCTATGGTGAAGATCTCTCCCATCCCTCTCAGTATTCCTAACGCGACATGGTGCTGGGGTCATTCGGCGGAGTAGTTTCCGATCCCGGAGGCGTCAACAACTCTGTTACCCCAAAACGGGATCGGAGACTACTCCGCGCCAAACCTTACAAGTTATCGAGCGGGATGCGATTGCGCGAGGAGTAGTTTTAATAAAACTACTCCGAACTACTCCGCACGAGTGCGTCATTCCAAAAGGCAAATTGAAAGCACGGCGATGTATTGGTGTGTCCCAGGGCCCCGTTAGCACAGGCGCTCGCCAGCTGAGCACCATCTGCTTCTCGTCGTGTGCCCGCCCCTCGGGGGCATCCTCTGGGAGGCCCCGTGGCCACGCGGGCAGGAGCTCTTCGGGGGCCGCCTCGGGGAGCGTCTGGGAGGCTCGGAGGGCCCGGGAGATGCTGGGGAGCTCGTCGACCGCCCGCCCCTCTCTCAAATGGTGTACCCCTCGGTCGTTGAACGCGGGTATTTTTTGGGGGAGTGCCAGACTCCCATCTGCTTCAGGCGTGTCTCCCCACATCAACGATCGAGCGGCTTCTCACCCCCTCCGTCCTCTTCGGGGGGCGGGCGGACACCCAGGTCTGCTTCCAGCGCCTTCCTGCTTCCTGCCTCTACCTGCCGCCGACCGATGGGTATTGTGGACCCCCCTGGGGGGAGGGGAGGAAGGCGGGGGGGGGGGGGCAGCCCACCAGCTCACGAGGGGGGGGTCGGCGGATCCGCGGGCGGAGGAGCGAGCAGTCCTGCCCGGGGGGGGGGGGGGCGGGTGCGGCGGGCGGCCTGTGCAGCGGAGGCCGAGGCCGAGAAGCACCCTCCGCTTGCCTCCCGGGTGCCCCGGGTGTCCTCTTGGGGTTCGGTGGGTTTGCTGTGGAGAGCGCGGCGTTCCCACACCGGGAATCGGTGTACGTCCTGGGGTATCAGGGTTGGGTTTCGTGTGGAGGGTTTCTTGTGGTCGAGCCCCTGCTGTAGCCAGGGTGAGGAGGCGGACTCTACTGCGAAGGCCTTGCGGCTGGTGCCGCCGAGCCTGAAGGCAGACGACGACGACGACGGCGACGACAACGGCGGCGGCGGCAATAACGACGACGCTGACGTGGGCCAGAGTCCTCAGGGATGGTTCTTGGGGTCTCTCCGGAAGTCTCTCGGGGGCCTCTGGGGAAGCATGTGGGGGGGGGCGCCTCCTGGGAGCCTCCTTGGGGCCTCTTGGGATCCTCCTGGGGGCCTCCTCGGGCTTCGGGGCGAAGAGGCGGCGGCTTCTGCTGCGGCGGCGCGTCTTCTCGCGGGGGTGGGCATGCGCAGCGGTGCGCAGTGGGGGGCCGTGCCCGCCTGGCGCTTCCGGGGGGCGTCGCGTGCCCCCCCTGTGCATGTTCTTGCAGTCCAACCCGCGTAGCAGGCATGGGCAACCTTCCCAGTGGGGTGCCTTTGCGTCCTTGCCCCTTCCGAGGGGGCCTCCGAGGGGGCCGAGGGAGCATGGGCAACCTTCCCAGTGGGGTGCCTTTGCGTCCTTGCCCCTTCCGAGGGGGCCTCCGAGGGGGCCGAGGGAGCATGGGCAACCTTCCCAGTGGGGTGCCTTTGCGTCCCTGCCCCTTCCGAGGGGGCCTCCGAGGGGGCCGAGGGAGCATGGGCAACCTTCCCAGTGGGGTACCTTTGCGTCCCTGCCCCTTCCGAGGGGGCCTCCGAGGGGGCCGAGGGAGCATGGGCAACCTTCCCAGTGGGGTACCTTTTTGCATCTGTGCGGGCGACGCACGGGCGCCGCATTTCGCGAGCGCCCGCCAAGCTGGCGCTGCACTCGCCGAAGAGCCACTCTGCGAGGGCGACGCCCGCCTTCGCCGGCAAGGCCGGCCTCTTTGGCGGCGGACGCAGGAGCCGACGCACGGGCGACGCATGCGCGACGCACCCTTGGTTTCGATGGGGGGGGTCGGCCCATCCTGAGTCCCTATTGCTGGCCAGCTTCGTTCGAAGAGCGTCAACTTGGCCCCCCAAGGCCCTCGCATCCTTCCTTACCGCGCATCCTGATGATACGGGTTGGCTGTACCTCTTGCCATGTATGGCCCCTATGTCGACGCTCACCCCAGACAGCTTTCAGTTTGGCGCGTTTCTGTGTTTTCTTACACAGTACGACCTTAACTTCAACGTTTAGAGTGCAAGCGGGACATTGGATTGTTCTCACAGGGAGTTTTCGGGATTCCGCGCGTCACCTTTGTATGATGTGATATTGGCGCTGAGGACACGTGAAGCAGTTGGCCTTTCTCATACAATGTTCGGGGTATCTCGGGGTGAAACTTTTTCACCGCTGTGCCTTCTTAGTATGTATGTTCTCATGCGTACGATCGCTTTGCAAGTGGAACGTTATGCTTGTGAGATCGATAGTGAGATCGATAGTGAGACCGTTGAGTGAGATCGATAGTGAGATCGATAGTGAGGTCGATGTGGTGTCCCGAGGTGTCCCGTCGTGTCCCGTGGTGTCCTATGGTGTGCCTGTGAGTGAGATGGATAGTGAGATCGATCATGAGACCGATGGTGAGATCGAGAGGTGTTCCGCGGTGTCCCGTGATGGCCCGTGGTGTCCCGTGATGTCCCGTTGAGTGAGATCAATCGTGAGATCGACAATTGTCCCTTGGTGTCCCGTGGTGTTCCGTTGAGTGAGATCGATAGTGAGATCGATTTGAGTCAGATGTTGGTTTCCCCCTCTCTCTCACTCTCCCTCTCCCACGACCTCTCTATTTCCCGAAGGGTGGTCGTATAGGCGTATATATATATGTAGAGAGAGAAGAGAGAGAGAGAGAGAGAGAGAGAGACAGAGAAAGAGAGAGAGAGAGATGCGGAGCGACGTCACCCCAAGCGCCCCGATTTCGATGTTTGCACTCACGCGCAGGCCATGGCCCACAGAAGCGTGCCTATACCTTCCGTGGCCCGGCACGGCTCGCCCCCCCCCCCCGGGCCGCAGGACCCGAACCTTGAAAAGTCGAGGCCCGGGCCTCTGTCCCCGCCTCCACGTCGGGGGCCATCGCAGCCGGGGGGGGGGGAGTTTATCCCAGGCTGGGGCCAGGGAGCGGCCCCAGCTGGCTGCCCACGCCTCCCTCCTCCGGCAGCCGCTCCGAGCGCCGCCGCGCCTCCCGGCCCCCACCTCTGCCCCGCCGCCCCGCCTCGACGCCCCCCCCCCTCCCCGACCGATGCCCTGGAGCATGCGCGCGCCTGCGGAGCAGCCACGGCGGCGGCCTCGCCGGCGACGGCCTCGGCGTGGGGGCCGGCGGCGACGACCGCGGCTTCGGCAGCGGCGGCGGTGGCAGCTGCGGCGGCGGCGGCGGGGGTCCGCTGGCGGCGCGTGTGCAGCGTGCCGCGCGGGCGTCTCCCGAGGGGTCGTCGACCTCTGGCCAGAGGAGGAGGAGGAGGAGGAGGAGGAGGAGGAGGAGGAGAAGGATGAGGTGGAGGAGGAGGAGGAGGAGGAGGAGGAGGAGGAGGAGGAGGAGGAGAAGGATGAGGGGGAGGAGGAGGAGGAGGAGGAGGAGGAGGAGGAGGAGGAGGAGGAGGACCTCGGGGCCGAGCAGCTCTGCGCCGCACCGCGCGGGAGCGAGAGGCCTCGATGGGGAGTCCAAGCACGGCACGGTGCGCGGGCCCCGTCCTCGCAACGGGGACAGCCGCGGCCACGGCCGCGGCCACGGCGGCCACGGCGCCGACGGCATGCCACGGCAGGGGCGACGGCGACGAGCACGGCGAAGCAGCACTGGCAAGCACAGGGCGACGATGGCGACAGAGGAGGGAGGGCCGCGGGGGGGCGCCGCCGCGGCGAGGCGCAGCAGGCGAGGCTGTTCGACCTGGGGTCCAGCGCGTACTCCTTCGCGTCGGAGAGCTCCTACTCCAAGACGATCCCGGGAGGGGAAGGGCTGGGTCCGCACCCCCGTCGGGTCGTCGGAAAAGGCGTGCCGGCCAGCGCCGACCTCAAAACCGCTCCGAAGACTGGAGCGAGGAAGACGGAAGCAGACTGGAGTAGACTGGACTGGGGTGGACTATACTCCACTCTATTCTATTCCACCCGACTCTACTCTACCATCTACCCTACTCTACTCTCGACCCTGCCCTTCCCTATTCTACTCTCGACTCCCCTCTACTCGAACTCTACTCTTCTATTTTATGTTCTAGTCTATTCCACTTATCTACTCTCATCTACTCTCCCCTACTCTGCTCTCTCTACCCTACTGTTTTCTATTTCTGGGTTTGACTATTGCTGGACGATTGTTCGGACACCATTGGAATAGCCACAGGAAGCCATTGCAATAGCAGAGGTAATCATTGCAATAACAGGGGAAGCCATTGCAATAGCAATAGCAGGGCAAGCAATTGCTATAGTTTCACGCAGAATAGAGGGGGGCAGTGGACCAGTTCTCTACGCACTTGAGCCAGGACACCTATCGGCCTATAGCAAGCCTCTTTGGAAAACAATGGTGTGTGTCTGTGTGTGTGCGCGTGCGTGCGTGCGTGCGTGCTTGCGTGCGTGCGTGTGTGTGTGGTGTTGTGTGTGTGTGTGTGTGTGTCTGGGCGTGTGTATGTGTGTCTGTGTGTCTAAATGTGTGTGTGTGCGTGTGTGTGTGCGTGTGTGTGTGTGTGTGCGTGTGGTCGTGTGGGGCTGGCGCCTTCTCTTTCATCTGTTTTTTTTCAGGGCCGATGATTGGCACCATAGCTTAGTCTGACTTCTGACTTCGACTCCTAGAAGCGCTCCTGTCCCAGCCGCGTGGGACCGAACAGTGCGCGTGCTTGCGTGGTGTATGTGTGTGTGCGTGTGCGTGTGCGTGTGCGTGTGCGTGTGCGTGTGCGTGTGTGTGTGTGTGTGCGTGTGTGTGTGTGTGTGTGTGCGTGTGTGCGTGCGTGCGTGCGTGCGTGCGTGTGGATGTGCCGCTCTAGACGCGCGCGCGACAGCTGCTTCGGACTTTCTCCGCCCCGCCGCTGCGCGCAGGGCCGCGACGCCCAAAAAGTATGCGCGGGTGTGGGTGGGGGTGTGGGTGCGCGGGTGCGTGCCCGTCTGTCTGTCTCTCGGTCTGCCCGCCTGCCTGCCTGCCCGCCTGCCTGTCTGTCTGCCTGTCTGCCAGTCTGTCTGTCTGCCAGTCCGTCTGTCTGTCAGTCTGTCTGTCTGTCTGTCTGTGTGTCTGTCTGTCTGTCTGTCTGTCTGTCTGACTGCCTCTCTGTGATCTGTCTGTATGTGCGTGCGCGTTTGTGCCCTTGTGTGTGTGTTGCCATTCTCGGACTCCGGGTCCTTCACCCGGCACCGGGGCTGTCAACGAAACAGTTCAGAATGACAAGCTGGTTCCAGTCACGGTGTGGAGACATTTGGGAGGGCATGTAGTGGCAAAAACACAAGATCGGGGGTATGGGGAGGGTGGCAGACACCGCCACCGTGCGTGACAAGGGCCATCCTGGGCCCCAGGGTGTTGGATATACCCTCCAGGCCTCGGCCAATCACCATGCTAGGGCCCAGTGCCGAGCCATGGTGAGGAGGAGGCAGGCAACCTCAGGAAGAATGACAACTGCTCCAGAGCGTTCCGTAACGCTCGTAGGGCGCTCCGCAGAGCTCTTGGGTCGGCCGCGGCGCCCGACGTGTCCCACACAGGCCCGCTGCCTCCCAGAGATCTTGGCTTATCTCTGACCGATTTTGCCGTCTCCCTTCCCTCGCCTTAGAAGGAGGAGGGCGGATGATGAGGTCTTCGGGGGGAGGGTCCTGTAGTTCTCCTTGTTGGAGAAGGAAGTGGAGCAGGATGAGGAGGAGGAGGAGGAGGAGGAGGAGGAGCAGCAGCAGCAGCAACAGGAGAAGGAGGAGCATGAGGAGGAGGAGGTGGTTTCTGGAGCTCTTCGGGGGTTTTTGAAGGTTTCGTGGGGGGTGCCAGAGGACTCCGGAGGGAAGAGGGTAAGGAAGGAAAGCAATGATGGCTAGGAGGAGATAAGAGGGGTGAATACCTACAGATAATCAGAGCGTGAATTACCTACCCCGGTTTCGCTTCCAGGCAAAACCAAGCCATACCACGCGCCTCCTCGTCAAGCGGCCTGACCAGTACAGGCTGCAATTTGGCGTCGTTTGGTATCTCTTGGAAGCGAGGGTGGTCAAAAGCGAGGTAGGTTTGTTTTCCCCCTAGATGATGCTTGCCAGCGTGGACAATAACGGGAGGGAGAGGGGGGATCAGGAGGGGAAGGGTGAGGAGACGGAAAGCGAGGGGCCAGGCCTTCAGTCTGAGCACCAGGGAGGAGGAGGAGAAGGAGCAGGAGGAGGAAGTGGAGGAGGAGGAAGTGGAGGAGGAGGAGGAGGAGGAGGAGGAGGAGGAGGAAGTGGTGGAGGAGGAGGAAGTGGAGGAGGAGGAGGAAGTGGTGGAGGAGGAGGAGGAGGAGGAGGAGGAGGAGAAAAGGGGATAACCGCTGGGAGGTCTTAAACGTTTTTTCTGCTCTCGGAGGAACCATGGCCAGACCCCGGGGTCGTCGAAGACAGCGCGAGCTCCATCGTCGTCTTCGTCCTTGTCCTCGTCGTCGTCCTTGTCCTCGTCGTCTTCCTCGTCCTCGGCCTCGTCCTCGGCCTCGTCCTCGTCCTCGTCCTCGTCCTCGTCGTCGGCGTCGGCGTCGGCGTCGGCGTCGTCGTCGTGATGCTCGTCGTCGTCGCCTGCGACGGCCCCGGGGAGAGGCGCTGCGCGCCGGAGGTCTGCACGGCCCTCGGCGCGCCGGGCCTCGGCACCCAGCAGCCGGGTCGGGGCTCAAGAGACGGAAGTTCCTCCTCCTCCTCCTCCTCCTCCTCCTCCTCCCCTCCTCCTCCCCCTTCGTCCCTCTCTCCTCCCCCTCCTCCTCCTCCTCCCCTCCTCTCCTCCTCCTCCTCCTCCTCCTCTCCCCCTTCGCTCCTCCTCTCCTCCTCCTCCTCCTCTCCTCTCCCCTCCTCCTCCTCTCGTCCCTTCCTCCTCCTCCTCTCCTCCTCCTCCTCCTCCCTCCTCCCCCTCTCCTCTCTCCTCCTCTCCCCCATCTCTCGTCTTCTTCCTCTCTCCTCCTCCCCTCCTCCTCCTCCTCCTCCTCCTCCTCCTCCTCCTTCTCCTCCTCCACCCAGCAGCTGGGTCGGGGCTCAAGAAACGGTGGTCGATGCAAAAGTCGGGGCTCAAGAGAGCCAGACTTCCTCGCGCTGCTGGGAAAATCACGACGAGAGGTTTTTCGCTATTTTCGGTCTCCGGGGGCCCTTCCCGGGCCTCGGGGCCGTCAACAACACGACTCAGGACGAAAAACGGGTCCGGGGCAAGGGGTCCAGACCTCTGGGGGTCGACGTTGCGAAAAAATGACGACGTCGGGTGTCTGGGGTCGGGGGTCGATGCAAACGGGGGTTAGCCAGGGCACCGGATCTTGCAGGATCCTGCAGGGCCAGGGTCGCACTGACCCTGGTCTGGGCGCAGGATCCTGCAGGATCCTGCAAAGCCCGACTGATCCGGGTCTGGATTGACCGAGGTCAGAAGATCCCCGACTGGGGATTGCTGTCCAGAGCAGCAAAACACAGCCCTTGGCTTAAGTTGGGCACGTCCCTCTGCAGGAGGAATCTTCAAACATAGCAACAAAGAGTACATTTTAACACAACAAAGCTAGTTTGATTGTCTGTGTTGAGTATATTTGACTTAAATGTTTCGCCCCAATTCCGCCTATAGCAGGACATGCCCGACCTAACCATTGGCAGAATACCGTCGCCGTTGGTATCTTCAGGATGGCCACCGCCCCTCGCCCAGCTGAGCTGCTTGGAGACGTGGCTACGCCTCGCAGCTCTGGATCTCCCTCTCCGGGTTCGCGGATCGATCATGTCTCTCTCTCTCTCTCTCTCTCTCCTCTCTCCTCCTCCTCCTCCTCCTCCTCCTCCTCCACCTCCTCCTCCTCCTCCTCCTCCTCCTCCTCCTCCTCCTTCTCCTCCTCCTCCTCCTCCTCCTCCTCCTCCTCCTCTCTCGCGCGCGCGTTCGCTTGGTCGCTCCGCCCCGCTCCGTCTGCGTGCGCGTGGTCTTCGGGGGGGAGCAACAACGGGGAGAGGCATTCCCACCACCTACAAGAAGCACACCGTGGTGATCGACGTCACGCCCCAGGCTCCGTCGCGCCCACGCTCGCCACCCCGCAGATGCTGCCGTCCGCGGCGCGGAGGATCTCAGGGGGAGTCGGAACCAGGGTGGAGGCATGGACTTCCGATCGCCCGTTCATCGCCGATGCGTGCCTGATAGCCCACCCCGACCAGGAACGCTCAGATTCGCTATCAGGCCTATCGCCGATCAATCGGCGATGTATCGCCGATTCTGGGTCGATGCTTCCACCCCCGTATATACGTATATACAGAGAGAGAGAGTGTGAGAGAGAGAGACTGGGAGAGAGAGAGGGAGAGATAGAGACTGGGAGAGAGAGAGAGAGAGAGAGAAAGAGAGAGAGAGAGTGATACAACCGCTATCATTCCAACATGCACACACACACACTGAAGACATGTTTACATGCACGGAGATGCAGCGTGTCATGCGCAGGCATTCCGCAAGCAGTGCCTGCACTTGGGGGCCCCTGCTTCCGTCACCGAGGAACTGCATGACTCCGCCGAGGTCTTTTCCGCGACGCCGCCTCGCGGCCGCCTCGCGGCCGCGCCGCTGCCGCCCGCTCGGGAGGTCCGTCGAGGTTTCGCCGCGTCGCCGCCCCGCGGCCGGCCGTAGCCGCCCTCGCCGCCGCCCGGCCGGGGGGGAGGGGGCCGGCCGAGGGCCCCCCCCGGCGCCCCCGCCGCCCCGCGGCCGCCCCTCGTGGCGCCGGCCGACGTCGGAGGCCCGCCGAGGTCTCGCCGCGCTGCCGCGCGCTGCCCGCCTCGCTGCGGCCCACCGCGCGGCGCTGGCACGCAGGGGGGGGCTCGTGCTCCCCAGCCATCCCCAGCGTCGAACTAATCCCCATCCCTGAGACTGACACGCCCAAAGGCGACGACAATCTCAGGGACGCGCCCTGAAAAACGGGGGGAATCCCTGAGGTTGGCACTGTGATGAGGCGATGCCCAGCTTAGGGACAGGGATATGTTCCAGGCTGGTAAAGTCAGTGCTTGCACTTGGGCGTCCTTCCTCCTGCCGCCTGGGGAGCTGGCCGGGTGCGCCGAGGACTCGCCGCGTCGCCGCCCGCTGCCGCGCGCCGCCGCCTCGTCAGCGCTTCGGGGGGTCCGCCGAGGATGCGCCGCGTTGCCGCCCGTTGCCGCCTCGTTTCCGCCTGCGGGGTCCGCCGGGGATTCGCCACGCTGACGCCCTTCGTCCCCTGTTGCCACCCCGTTGCCGCTGAGGGCTTCCGCCCAGGATCCGCCACGTTGCCACCCGTTGTCGCCGTCGGGCGTGTCCCTCTACAGGAGGAATCCTCAAACATAGTCAAAAAATCGTATGGGGGCGGTTTTCAAGTATTATTTTTTGGGAGCTATGTTGGTGTATCTATTGGGTATGTTTGATTTCTCTTCTGCAATCCGCCTGTAGGTGGACATGCCCGACCGAACGGTCGGGGGCATCGGCAGGTCGACCGGGGCCGTGGATCACTCGCTCGAGGGCGGCGGGGGACATCCCGTCGGCACGGGGCGCTGCCGCTCATGCGCTCAGCACATGCGGCGCCCTGCGGAGCTCTGGCCCGTCTCTGGAGCTTGGCGCGTCGGTGGGGATGGGAGACTTCCCCAGACAGGATCGCGTGGTGACACAAGACAAAAAAAGCAGGACGCGGGAGGTTTGGGGTTATCTTCGGCCCCAGGGGGCCCCCGCCCAGCCTCGGCACCGTCAAAAAACGGCTCAGGACGAAGCACCGGTCCCAGGGAAAGCGTCGGGACTTCAGGGGCGCCGTCCTGAAAATAGCCGGGCGTCGCATGCCTGGGTCGGGCGCTCGCGCCAGAGGATCCATGCGCTGCGTGCCGCGCCGCCGGGAGGAGGCCCCTCCGCTGGCGGTCCGCACGTCGCGCCCTCGGCCAGGGTGGCCCGGAGAGCCCTGGCGCACCCCGGGCGCCCTGCGCGGCCTTCGTGGGGCCCTCGGCGCCGCCGTCGCGCCAGAGCTCGGCGAGAGCCTGCGCCTGCAGGAGCCTCGCGTCGCTCTCGCGCAGGAGCGGTGGGTCCACCGCTACGCCGGGCGCGGGGCCATGGCGCTCGGGGCTCACGCACCCCTGGAGGAACGACCGCCTCCGACGAGCGTCAGATGGGCTGCTGCCCCAGATGCCGCCATCTTCAGGCCGAGGTCGCTCCCCGCGAGCTCCTGCGAGTAGAGAGTCGGGCCTGTCCCTCTTCAGGAGGAATATTCAAAAATATGAATTGTCTATTACTTGTTGATTCATGTTTGATTTAATTTTTCAGTATTTCAAATGTTTCGTCCAAAATCTGCCTTAGGGGGGCACGCCGGACCCAAGCCGAGGTCGCTCCCCGCGAGCTCTTGCGAGACCCGCGCGCAGACGGCGCGTGCAGCGCCAGCCATTGCCTGCGTGTGCGCAGGGACCGGGGATGTTGTTCGCCCCCTGCGGCGGCGGCCCTCGGCGGGTGCTCTGGCTTGCTCCTCCTCCTCCTCCTCCTCCTCCTCCTCCTCCTCCGCCTCCTCCTGCTCCTCCTCCTCCTTATCCTCCTTATCCTCCTCCTCCTCCTCCTCCTCCTCCTCCTCCTCCTCCTCCTCCTCCTCCTCCTCCTCCTCCTCCTCCTCCTCCTCCTCCTCCTCCCCCCCCTCGTCCTCCTCTTTCTCCTCCTCCTTCCCCCCCCTCGTCCTCGTCCTCGTCCTCGTCCTCCTCGCCTGGCATTCTTGCGCCGTCGCCTCCGGGTGGTGGTGCGCCACTGCGAAGAGCTGGGCGGCGACTCGAGTCGCCTCCTCCAGGGCGCCGCGGGGTGCCGGCCACCGGTGCCGCAGGCCAGTCCGAAGGAGCGGAGGAGTGCCTGACCCCGGAGTGGGGCGCTGGGGGGAGCGGCGCGGCTAGGGCGCGGCCATGCCAAGAAAAAACTCTGCTTTCCTCCAGGATGCCTTGAATTTCTTGGGTTTCCATTGTTTTGCGATGGAAATCGTGACGTTCCCACACCAAAAAATCAATGGACGTCCTGGGGTCTCAGGGTTGGGTTTCTTGTGGAAGGTTTCTTGTGGTCGAGCTCCTACTGTAGGGCGGGGCCTGGTGTCTGCGGCACTTGCACGCCACTCCACCACAAGCTGCAAGGTGCTTCCGGGGGGGGGGTGTCCCAAGGGGAGCTGTCATTGACCAGCCAGGCCTCAGCGATAGGTCGAGAGAGTGGCCGTTGGGATGACCATGCTCAGGAACACCTAGGGGGAGGAGGAGGAGGAGGAGGAGGAGGAGGAGGAGGAGGAGGAGGAGGAGGAGGAGGAGGAGGGCGTGGCGTCCTGGAGGGAGAGGGAAGTCGATGATGAACGGGTCCCCCTCCTTGTGCCTGATCCCCCAGATGGTCAAGCTGGTTTGGATGCCCCCGTCCAGGATTGACCAGCCAGGCTTTGGACAGACCCGGCCAATGCGGCTCTGGTGGGAGGCTGTGGGGGGATCCGCGTCGAGCGCGCCGCTCTTTTCGGGGCGATCCCCAGGCTGGCGGCGTGCATGATGGCCGCCACCGCAACGTTGTAGACCAGGTTCTCCGCGTCCATACCGAGGAGGAGGAGGAGGAGGTCGTAGAGTTGAGTCGGGCGTGTCCTTCTACAGGAGGAATATTCTAAAGTAGTCCAAAAACAGTCTGGGGACGATTGTTTGGTTATTTGTTGATTATGTTTGGATATGTTCTGACTATTTTTCATGTTGCGTCCAACATCCGCCTGTAGGAGGACACTCCCGACGTATGTCCAGACCGAGGAGGAGGTCATAGAGACAGCCGTATCGACTGCACGTGAGAGTGACCCTTCGCCGGACTGGCTCCCGGTGCGCGCCAACTGGGCCCCCCGATCGCCGAGTGCGGTGCGACGATGGCTTCTTGCGCGCTTGTGTTTGGTCCTCCTCCGCGGCCGTCAAGAAGCCGCGCACCAAAGGTCGCTCTTACCCAGAGTCACTCTTGCGTGCAGCCGAAGACTGCCGCTCATGCTGCAGGCCTTCTGGTCCTGGAGCGCCAGGTCCAGTGGTTGGCTGTCGGAGTCCCAGGCTGGGAACAAGGGTGGCGCGTGGTGAGCCAGTGGGGATTCGGGGTCACCGCACGGTTTCTGGACTCGGGTCGTTCTCCGAGGACGCCTCAGGCGATCAGGGCCTCGGAGGTCCCAATATCGTGCAATGACGGACCGCGCGGTGAGGTCTCCTGGGATGTCGAGGTCACCGCGCGGTCCGTCACCTCACAGGTTTTGGGACCCCCGATCTGTCCAGAAGGTCGAGGGGAGCCCAGAAGTCTCGACGCGCGAGCTCCCCCTCCTCGTTCTCCCCCTCCCCCTCTCCTCGTCAAGAGCTTATAACGACTGCCGCCGTCCCTCGACGCGCGCTGGAGCGGCCACGAGCTGCTCCAAATCTCCCCAGAGATCTCTGGCTTCGCTTGGATCTGCCACGATGTGCCTGGATTTGCCTGGATCGACTTATCTCGATTTACCTGGCTAGATCCCCGCGAGTCGAGTGGCGAAACATCGTCGAGCCCCTGGCGCGCGTGCCCTGGGCTTCCCGCGCGCCTGTGGGGTCAGCGCAGGCCGCCGCCGAGCTGCACTGGATGGGCCTCCCGAGCTGCGCCGACTTCGTCACGGGAGCGCGCGGGGGCCCTCCTCTTCGCGCCGTTGTCGTCGCCTCCTGCAGTCTCACCTCCAACCTTCCCGGGGGTTCCCTTGCATCCTTGCCCCTTCGGCCCATCCTTAGCGACTTTCGCTGGCCAGCCTCGTTCGAAAAGAGTGAATATGGCCCTCCAAGGCCCTTGCATCCTTACTGTACCGCGCATCCTTGCAATACGGGTTGACTGTGTAGGCTACCGGTGCAGCATAGCAGTGAGCACGTATGGGCAGCAGGCATGTGCGGGCCCCTTGACATCTGGCTCAAGGGATCCCTCTGCGCGCCCGCTTTGCAGTCATTTCAGACGCCTTGCTATCCATCCGCTTCACAGACAAATCATTTTCTTTTCATCCACCGCTTCACATTCTACGTAGTGCGAGGGGCAGGGGGCCTCGTCGATCTCAACGATTCGGGCAACTCTACGAGCGGCGGGGGTAGGGGTCTCGGCATTCGTCGAGCACGTGTCGAAATCCGAAGCCTCAGCCAGTCCCCGTCTAACGTTAACCCCTCCGGGGAGGGCGTCTCAGCGGAGGGAAACGCATCGATGCCCCGCAACCCTTCCTTCTTGTTCGCCTTTGGGGGCCTCCTGCGAGGCCCTCGCCGCCACGGCTAGGATCTTGGTCAGAGCGCACGACGGGAGAGGTCTCGGCGAGGTCTCAAGCCGATGCGCAACCCCGAGCCCAGACCTGGCGCATCGTGAAAAAAACGCGGCGGTCGGGCCGAGGAACAAGGATCGAGGTCGCCTCGGGGAGGGTGCCCTATAGTGTTCTTCGTGCTTGCTTGGTGTCCTCGTGCATCCCAGGGAGGTGCCCTCGAAGGTTCGTTATATTTGACTGGCACTTGGCATCGCTCGGACGTGTGCATGTTTCCTTCGGCGAGGACCATCTAGGAGCATCCTTGACCATTTGGCGAAAAACCACGCACGACACCGAAAAAAAGCACAGGGAATGGACGTCCGAGCGATGGCCAGGGTCCGGCCGCGCCGAAGCCCGGCGCACGCCGCTCGGCACGCTGCCCCCCCCCCCGGCGGACGCGGGCCGACCCCGCGCTCCTCCTCCTCCTCCTCCTCCTCCTCCTCCTCCTCCTCCTCCTCCTCCTCCTCCTCCTTCCCTCTCCCTCTCCTCCTCTCCTCCTCTCCCCCTCCTCCTCCTCCTCCTCCTCCTCCTCCTCCTCCTCCTCCTCCTCCCTCCTCCTCCTCCTCCTCCTCCACCTCCTCCACCTCCTCCGCCTCCTCGGACGCCGAGAGCGCGGACACCGCCCGAGGAGGGCAGAGGGCCGCCAGGGGGGCACTGATGGTGCCGGTGCAGAGCGCTGTGCAGCACATCCCGCTGCGTGGGCAGGCGCACCAACGCTTCAGAGATTCGGGAAACGTGGGGCTCGAGGTTGCTGGGGCTCGGGTGTGCCGCCGCGCTTCGACGGACCAGCTTCCGTGCTCTGTCTGCAGCGGGAGGTCGCGTCAAATCTCGGATTGGGTCCCAGCAGTTGTCCGACGGTTTGGTCAGTCAGGCAGACTCGAGTCCCCCAAGATTCTTCCGGTGGGTTCGTGTCGCGTCGACGCGGCGGTGACCCCGCCGCGGGCGTTCAAGGTTTCATGCCGCCAGTGTCCCAGAATCGGCCGATATGGAATGATCTTATGATCGGAACGCCGACGATCGATCAGAGCTGAACGATCCGCGCGTTGTGAGAAACAGCCGCCGAAAGCCGCCACGGCACGACCCTTTCGCACGTCCCCTCAGAAAAAGTACGTACCTGTTCGTGCGGCCGCCCCTTTCTGCGCGGGAACAACCATAACTGCGACGTCGTGCTTTTCACAACGTCATTCCCCAGAGGTCAGGATCGAGTGGTTTTCCCTCGTCCTTCGTCTCCAGATGGCGGGCGGAGATCCAATCTACTTTCAGCGCCGTCCTGCTTCATGTTTCTTCCCACTTCCTCCGACCGGTGGACAGCCGTTTTGGCTCAAGCAACATACTCTCTTGACAGACTTGTCGCAGCCCTACCTCTTGCCCTGGTCAGACGAAGGACGCTCTCGGGGGCATGCCCGAGGTTGTGAAGAAAGTGTCCTCAGCCAAGCCCGAGGTTGTGAAGAAAGCGTCGTCGGTCAAGGATGGCCCGAGGGGCACATCCGAGGCTATGAAGAAGGCCGAGGCGGGCATGGCACTCTTCAAGGACAGGGACAAGGCCGAGTTGCAGGTGGACAGGTCCGCCGCGGAGGCCTTCAAGGCGTCGCACGAGGCCGTGTTAGCAGAAAAGCAGAAGGTCGTCGACTCGCTGACCGGCAAAGACAACAAGAAGAAGCGCACTGCGATGAGCAAGGAACTGTCCGACCTCAAGGTCGACAAGCAGTATATCGACGCCTGCAAGGTTCGAGGACAACTAAGTTAGCCAGCGACGTGCCCGACCTATCTGCAACAAGTACCCATAGCAATGGGCTCGTTCTAAAAGGATGGTGAGGAACGCTATCATGTGTGAAAGCAACATGGGGGGCCTGCACGTTGCACGCGCCACGGGAAATATATGAGCGACAACTCCAAATAATAGGAGGACATGGGGGAAGAAAGGCGAAAAGACGACGATGACTAAGAGACGGGAAGGCCCTACGGCCAGTGCCGCCGACCCTGAAGTGGGACCACGGCGGCGGCGGCGGCGGCGACGACGCCGACGCTCGTCAGCCCTTTTTGGGGCTCTCTTTGGAGCCTATTGTGCTCTCTTGTGGGGCCTCTTGGGAGACTTCTGGGACAGCTCCGTGGCCACGCGTGGAGCCGCCTCGGAGCGGATCTGAGGCCTCTTGGAGGCATGTGGGAAAATACGCAGCACCCCACAACAGCAGGGGGGCCTACGGCGGGGACCGGGAAGAGGGGGGGGGGGTCCCGTTGTCCACAAGGGGGATCCCCGCGGGGGAGGTCATGACCCCCAGAGACCCCCCCGCTGGGAATCCCCTGGCGACCCCCCCCCCCCCCGCCAGGGCAGGGATCCAACGGGAAGGGGCCTCCTTCCGAATCGCCTGCGACGCTGTTGGACTCCCGTCGGGCGGCATCCGTCGAGGCGGCGCAGGCCGCGGGACAAGGGGGGGGAGCGGCGGCGGCGGCGGCGGCGGCGGCGACGGCTCTCCGGCAGCCGTTTCGCGTGAAATTTCTGCACCAGTGATATTATTTTTGTTTTGTCCCCCCCCTTTCTCGCGATGATAGATGTCGAGGCCGGTCCATCCAGGAACACCCGGCGACTACGGGCTTGCGGCCCGCAGCTGGGCTGGCTTCGGCGGTCTAGGGAGGAGGTGGAGGAGGAGGAGGAGCACCCATGCTGGCGACCCGTTCGGCCGCGTTCTTTCGCGTGGCGCCGGGCCTCCGGGGGCCTCCCCGGGGAGGGTAGCTCTTTAGCAGACTGGGGGGCTTCTGGAGGCGCCCCCGGGCAGGAGTCTTCGCGTGGCGACCGGGCCTCCCGGGGCGTCCCTTCCCGGGCGGGAGTCTGCGCGTGGTGTCGGGCCTCCGGGGGCCTCCCTGGCGCGGGAGCTGGCACGTCCGCCGGCGCGTCGCCTGGCAAGTTCCCTGTCACGTTCCGTGGCGCGTCCCCCTGGCACGTCGCGCGGCGCGTCCTCTGGCACGTCCCCTGACACGTCCCCTGGCACGTCCCCTGGCGCGTCTCTTCGGGCGTGCTGCGGCGCGTCCCCGCTGCATGCCCCGGGGCGCGCCCCCCTAGCGCGCCCCATGGAGCGTCCCCATGTGCGGCACGGCACAGCGCAGCGCAGCACAACACAGCCCCCTGGCACAGTGTCGCCACCATCGATGTCTTCAGCACTGCCGCTGCCCATCGCGCAATTGAGGTGCTTCGAAACGTTTCCACGCTTCATATTTCTACATCCTTTCCAGGTTCGTGGGTCGATCATGTGTGCGCGGGCCAGCCACGGGGGGCATCTAACATGTGGTCGCCTGGGGGGCCCCAGTGCGAGGGCCCACAAGAGCCAGACAGAATCCCTCAAGCTACACCACATGCGTAATACATTGGCAAAGTTTCTTCGGCGGTTGATTTTCTCATTTCCCCCTGGGGTATCTAGGTATCGAAGACGCCTGCGGCGAATCACCGCCGCCCCCTGCCTTTTTGGAAGCGCCTATGTGGCCGAACGTTGAGGCCAGACCTGCCAAGCCATCGGACCATGTGTTTCCCGAATCGGTTTGGAAAGCCTTCGGGGACCACGTGGGCATCTTGAAGGTCATCTTGGCCGTCTTGGAGGCCATGTTGACCCTTTCGGGCCTTCTTGGAGGACGTCTTGGAGGGCTCTTGGGCCGTCTTGGAGGCCATCTTGAGCGTCTTGGAGACCTCTTGGGCCGTCCTGGCGGCTTCTTGGGGCCATGTCTTGGGCCTCTTGGGCGATCTTTGGGGGCACTTGGGCCGCCTCGGGCCGTCGGAAGTCAGAAAATAGGCAAATGCCAGCACAATCCTTCAAACACCCATGGGAAATCAATGAGTTTGGCCTTTTCAGGCCTTCCTGGAGGCCTTCTTGCAGGCCTCTTGGGCCGTCTTGGGCCATCTTGGGCCATGTTCGGCCGTCTTGGTGGGCTCCTGGTCCGTCTGACGCCGTCGGAAGCCCTTTGGGGGGCCTCTATGGACCGACTTGGGGCCCTCTTGGAATGCCCCAGGGCCGTCTTGGAGGCCATCTTGGGCGTCTTAAAGGCCTCCTGTGCCGTCTTGGGGGCTCTTGGGGCCGTCTTGTGGCCCTCTTGGGCCGATCTGGGGCCATCTTGGAGGCCTCTTGGGCGATCTTTCGGCGATCTTTGGGGGCTCTTGGGCCGTCTCGGGCCGTCGGAAGGCCGAAAAGAAGCAAATGTCAAAATCCGTCAAACACCTAATAAAAGTCAATGTTTTTGGCCTCCTTTGGCCTTCCTGGAGCTTCTTGGGCCGTCTTGGGCCAGCTTCGAGCCAACTTCGGCCATCTTGGTGGGTTCCTGGCACGTCTGACGCCGTCGGGAGCCGTCTTGGGGGCCTTTCTGGGCCGACTGGGGGCCCTCTTAGGGCGCTTCGAGGCCGTCTTGGAGGCTACCTTGGCCGTCTTGGAGGCCATCTTGGGCGTGTTGGAGGCCTCTTGGGCCGTCACGGGGACCTCTTGGAGGCCTCTTGGGCGATCTTGGGGGTCTCTTGGGCCGTCTGGGGCCGTCGGAATGCCGAGAAGAAGCAAATGTCAAAATCCTTCAAAAACCTACGGAAAGTCAATGATTTTGGCCTCTTCGGGCCTTCCTGGAGGACCTCTTGGAGGACTCTTGGGCCGTCTTGGAGGCATCTTGGGGCCATCTGAGCCGTCTTGGAGGCCATCTTGGCCGTCTTGGAGGCATCTTGGTTGTCTGGGAGGCAATCTTGGGGTTGTTTGGGGTAGGAGAACCGTTTGCAACCGGGTCTTTCGGTTTTGGTTCTTTTGGAAAAAGAACCAAAACCGAAAGCCATATCATCTGGCACGCCAGGCACCCCTTTGATAAATCAAAAAGGGGCGGCGGATCAAAGACGCCTGCGGCGAACCACCGCCGCCCCCTGCCTTTTTGGAAGCGCCTATGTGGCCGAACGTTGAGGCCAGACCTGCCAAGCCATCGGACCATGTGTTCCCCGAATCGGTTTGGAAAGCCTTCGGGGACCACGTGGGCATCTTGAAGGTCATCTTGACCGTCTTGGAGGCCTCTTGGGCGATATTTCGGCGATCTTTGGGGGCTCTTGGGCCGTCTCGGGCCGTCGGAAGGCTGAAAAGAAGGAAATGTCAAACGTCAAAAACCGCAGGACAATCAATGTTTTTGGCGTCTTCTGGCCTTCCTGGAGGCCCTCTTGGGGGCCTCTTGGGCCGTCGTGGGCGAGCTTGGAGCCAACTTCGGCCATCTTGGTGGGTTCCTGGCACGTGGCACGGCGGAACTACGAATATTGGCAACAGACGGGTAGAGTGTTTTTACGCACGCGTGCGCGAGTTTGTGTGTTGCGCGCGTTTGACACGTATGTATGTGCTTGTGTGTTTTGTGCGGCGTGGCACGTGTGCTAGGTTTGGTGCGTGCTGGGTTTCGGGTCTGCAGAGAGAAGTGCCACGTCCAAGCATTGGGTATGGCGTTGGGGGGCGCGCCCGTAGTTCTCACCGGCCTACGCCCTGCTCCCGGGGCCGCGGTGCCGGGCGTGGCCTAGCCAGCTACGCCGGCACGTCCACATACCGCCGAGTCGGACGGGAGCACTGTTAGGCGGGGGCTGCGCGCTTCTTTGCTTCCCGTCGGGAGCTCTTTCGCGTCTCGGTTGCTGCGCTGCACGGTACGGCGCCTCTCCAGGCCCGTGAGTGCCCAAACCGCCCAGTTGGGCCGGGGGCAACGCCTCTTGGGCGCCCGAGGGTGCTCGGGGTACAGTGCCGATTGACACGTGGGCCGGCGCTCGAGGGCGGCCAACCCCAGGACGGGGGGCCCCCAGGTTCCCCTCGGCCTGAGTGGCCCCCGCAGTCGCCCCCATGGTGTAGTGCGTGGCCGGGTGCGGAGTGGAATGGAGACCCCCTGCTCTGGCACTTGGCTGCGGCTCCCTCATTTGTTTCACACCGCGACGTGCCGCTTCGAACTTGCGCGGGGGCGGGAGGGCACGACTCGCTGCCATGTGCGTGCGGGGGCGGTTGGATTCTTTTGAATATTCCCCCGTGCGCAGGGTAGCGTAAGGCTGGCTGCCGCCTGATCACCGGGGGCTGGCAGACTCTGGTTCGGGTCTTCTAGGCCGATCCTAAGGTGTCTCTCCGTGGTGCCGCGCTGATGCAAATCGACCCTTTTCGGGTATCGTGCCGTCCGGGCGTCTGGGTTGGGGTGTGGGGGGGGGGATGGGGGGCGGGCGGGGAGGTCCAGGGGCATTCGTGGTCGGGGGCGGCAGATGCCGCAGTGGTCATTTGGGGAGTACGCGTGTTTCGCCTGTCAGTCGGGTCGTCGTCGCCCTCCGGGGTCACCCTTTTGCGCTGGGAGGTGGCCTTGCACCGCCTCCTCTGGTGGGGGGTCTTTCACCCCTGGCGGCGAGGGGCCTTGCACCCCTTTCCTGACCGACAGGCGGGGAGGACGCACGTCGCGGGGAGGTTTGCCGGACGGGCTAGAATTCACAACGGCACATGCCTTGTTGGAGTTCCGCTTACACTCCATCAGCTGAGATACGGTCCTAAGTTAGGGCGTTCCGGGTTGAAGGTCGCATGGGCGCTCCAGGTTGAAGGCGGTGAGTGTGTGTGTGTGTGTGGAACTGTCGGCGCACAGTGCGTGTCGTGCGCTTCTGAAGTTGTGCATGCGAAGCTGTCTTGAGTGCCAATATTCGATTTCTGGCTGGCGCCTCAATCATCGGCATGTTCTTCCAGGACGGGCGTCGCAAGGTCCGATATTCCGATGAGGCGC